CAAATACTTTGAAAAAGTAATATACCCTCTCTGAAGTGACCTGTCAACATGTTTGTAGAAAGACTGTTAGCTGAAAACAATAACTCATGTTATTTATTTTACACATAATTCACTTCCAGTACATTTGTTATATGTACCATTCCAAATAAAATGTGTCTACCTGTCAAGAATTATCAGCAAACACATACATGTATTGCATATCAAATGTGCTAATCTTTCAGTTTTTATCAAACAATGCAGGGAGGTGTTGTTTTGAGACTACTAAACTTTACAGATCTCTTGATAAAAAATTCCCCCTCCAGGTTCTTCAAGGTGTGACAAATTCAAAATGTCTACCTTTTTCTTCTTAGTTTTGTTGCCACTGATAACATACTGGTGAACGTTTTTAGAATACATGCATATTTTTCCTATAAAAACACTTAACCCAATGTTAAATTAATAGACTAACAACTTAAACGTTTTGTAGTAAATTACTAGACCAGTGGTGAAATTCTGCTGGTACTCACCGAAATTTATATTCTAAGGCAGTACTAGTACCAGGACTTATATGAGCTGCTTTGTCATTTTTTATGTTTACATATAATTTTTTTGTCTTTTTCAAAAACAGGTCCACTTCACCCAACTGAGTACCTCTATTTTTTTTTTTTAGAATTTCACCCCTCTACCAGACCATTGTATTTTTCTGTTATGAAGCCTATTTTTCAAAAGTAAATTCCTTATTCAAATTTGAATAGAATTAAGTTTATTAAAATATTCACCAAGTTTTGATCATCACAAGAACCAAAAACACGATATAAACATTTCATTTCACTCTTTTTAAGTACTTCTGTTATATCAAGATAAACAAAGTTGTTATTAAGCACATTAAGGGTTGTTAACTGTTTTAAAAACAGTAAAGCTGTAAAGACATGCCATTATTTGAAATCAGAAGAAAAATATGATACATATCAAAATTTCTACTCAAAATCTAGCCACTAATTCCAATAAAAATAAAACTTTTGCAATGTGTTCAAAATTCAAACTATGTATAACACTAAAGTGGACAAAAAAAAAAATTATTTGTGCGTATTTCTTTTATTTCAGTTTATTTTCCCAACATACACTAACTCAGCCTTTTAAACAAGCAGTAACACTGGACTTAGCCATCTCACAAAAAAGTATATAATTGAAAATGTCAAATAACAATTGTAATTACTTATATTGTAATATTGTTTCACCCACATTGACAGTATTTTGATTTTTTCGCAGTATATCTATTGACATAAAAAAATTACAGCCAAAAACATGGTTGACAAGGAACTTGATAATGGATCGAGAAATTACCTTAAGCTTGATGAAACATTCATTTTTTTGTTTTGTATTATGTATAAAATTTAGAAAAATATGACAGTTCATAAATGTCATATGTTTTTATTGGGATGATGAGTAACATCAAAGAAAAGCAGATTAATTAGCCTGTTAAAACAAATTCATATTGCTTATCTTCAAACAAGCAGGGATAACACTATATGAAGCACATGACATGCTGGACAAGTTAATCAAAACACTTTTAGTAAAGTAGGAATTTCCTTGTCCATAAAACAAACAACAATTTTATTAGCAATACACCAGTCATAATCTCATCAATTTACTGTTTCCTAACTTAAAAATAAAACTGCTTTTTAATTTCTCAAATAAAATATCCATTTCAATGAAAAAAAAAAAAAATGAGAAGTGAGTTTTTTTAACAGTATTTACTATAACGATACTGTTGATTAATGCAAATAACCAAAGATCTAGGAATAACCATTACAAAAATACACGAACAAAAAATCTTAATGTCAAAAGATACTTGATTCAACCGACCATAACCATCATATTTCTAACCACAGTTTTACCTTTGCCACCAAAGGTGGACAGAGGTCAGGTTTTACCCCTGTGTGTATGTTGTCAGCAAGATTTTTCAAAAAATAACTGAATGGATTGGATGAAAGTTGGTATATATTTGTACTATGACCAAACTTTTAGACAATTAGTTTTTGAATGATCAAGGTTAAAGACACATCAAGGTCATGAAAATGAAAATATCCTTACCTGTTGACATGGTGACCAATTTCTCACACTATTTTTGTTCTATAACTCAGTCAAAAATGATCAGATTTCGATTAAACTTAGTGAACATGTGTAGAATATTATTCCTCATTGTCCTGCCAAAAATGATCCATGTCCGTTGATAACAACAAATATACGTATACATTTTTGTATTTATTGAGAGCCGAATATGATCAATGCTGTGTGACAGAGGTATGCACCCTAGTTTTTTATATATGTATTACTTGGTGTAAATTCAATTAAGTTATTTTATAAATTTTACTTTAGTTCTGTGATCAGTAATATATTTTCTATTTGCAAAATTCTTGGAATTAATTTCAGTCAGAATTTTTCAATAGTTGCTTTGATATTATCACGTTCAACACTGAAGTTGTTTATATCAAACAGCTGAAAGTCTTTCTTTACGATTTACTTTTCCTCACATATGTATATTATACTGTAAGTTCTAACAGGACCAGAATACATTTTTCACATGTTGTTAGCCAGAATTTTACTTGCCAACAAGAGATAACGTGTGAATGACAAAACCATTTTGAATAGCATAACTTACAGCTAAAAATATCATTAACAGCAACGGTATCCAACTGATGAAATAATGCATTCTAATCTTTATAACTATAAACCTGAGAAAAGTATATTTAATTAGCTATTATGATTGGCAGGTTCATTTCTAGTTTTGCCTTAAGCACATAGCTCGCTCTGTAAGTTAATGTTAATGTTGCGAGTGGTTTGAACTTTTTATACTATCTATGTACACCTTCAAAGAATAAGACCTCATTTATCAAAATGTTTTAAGTTAATGATTTTTTTTTACTTCTAGATATTCTTAATACATCTAATTGTAATAAATTCAAAAAATAGTTTTATTCATATTACACTTAGAGCTATAATACATCTTTTAATTATACCTGTGTTTAAAAAGTTTTGTTCATATTACACCTAGAGCTATAATACATCTTTACTTATACCTGTGTTTAAAAAGTTTTTATTATAGCTCTAGGTGTAATATGAACATAATTAAAAGATGACCTGTATTTAAAAAAAAATTGATAAATGAAAAGTTACATTTATGTTTAATTTATTATCTATGTAATAAAATAATTAATATTTTTGTTTTTGGCAAGTCATTATTTCTAGATCACTCAAGAGGTTCATTTAACATAAGTAAAAATTAGCATTTTGTTGGAGAAAACATGGTCACCGATTTTGTTAATTTTTACATTAAACTATATTTATTAAGAAATACACTTCATATAAAGCTTCATTTTTTTCTGTATTTTGATAACAACTTGAAAAAAAAGAACCACTTATTTTAATCTACTTTCATTTCAGACTTACTATTTAATATTAAAAGAGCCACATACTTTATTACTTGAACATTTAATGTGTTTTTTCAGATTAATATTTTTAATTCATAGAATTTAATATTCAACATTTATTGATTTTTGTTTTTCTTTAAGATGGTACTATACTTATCAATACAAGTTATTACCTTAGAGCTATGTATTTAATTAAAAAAATCAACTTACATGATGAAAATATTGTAGTACTATATTTTAATTTGTTTAATAATAAAATTAATAGTTACTTAATGTACAGCATACACATTTACACATGTATTTACACATTCTTTTGTCCATTTTTCATGGTGCCCCCACATACAGAAGAAAACTTAAACCTTCGTTCATTCTCTCAGAATTACATTTAATCTCATATTTACACAATCATTATATATATATATATATATATATATTG